ATGCTCCAATGCAAACACCTGACCAAGACTAGCCGCAGCTATAGGTCGATCTTCAAATTGTTTGAACAATACATCTATAGGCGCACCCAACTCGTTTTGTATGAAAGTTCTTGCTTTTTCAGGTGAAAATGCAGGTACCCTATCCTGCAACATATTGCCAAATTGCACAAAATGAGAATATAAGTATTGCATTAAAGAACTAGCAAGAAAGCTGCTGATTCAACATAAAAGCAACAAAAAGAGAAATTGAAATGGAAAAGATGTTCCTGTAAACACACGCACACAAAAAATTGCTGCTGAGAAAGAGATGATATCAAAATGGAACAGGCAGCTATCTACATCTCCCACATCAAGTAGGCACGTTATCTCAAGTATACATGTAGATTTGCAACATGCAAACCATTCGTTTTCCTCTTTTCTATGAGAAGTTTGTTATCCAGGTAAGTTCATGATAACAAGCTGGAAATTTTTTTGACCCGAGTTGTGGCAGGTAACAAATTCCTGCAGCCTGGCAAGCTCATACATTAAGGAACACTAGTCTAAATATGTTGTGACAGGTAACAAATACCTGCAGCTTGGCAAGCTCATCCACAAACTCTCTTGGGAACAAATCAGATCTAGTTGAGGATAGCTGCCCTAGCTTGATGAAAGTTGGCCCGAGTTGTAACACCTGTTCTCTCAACCATGAAGCAGATTTCTTCCTTCTCGCTTTCTGAGTGAAGAAAATTGAAGCAAAAAATTTAAATTAAAGAAACATAATGCCAATGTCATAATCAGGTCAGAGGAAAAACAAATCGTAATATGACAGATGGCCCGGTCACTTCTAACTCATGATAAAAACATCTAAAGCAATAGACATCAATAAATAGCTTTAGGAAAGACGGTGATTATATTAATAAGACCTAAACATATTGAAATGAAGAACGTATTTACTGCAATAAGCAACCAAGAGAAGCCAACACTAATCTCAAATATTAACGATGAACACTGACACGCATATTTAGTTTAAAAATATTACCTGCTTCTCCTCTGAGAATCCACCAGGATATGACCATTTGGCGTTATCAAACAGGACCTTCACCCGTAACGATAGCACAAATGACCAGATGTCAATAGATCTTTGCAAAGAATTGTAATCATCCTTTGCCCAGCTGAAACCTTCATCAGAAGGCAGAACTTTTAATTCTTCTGTGAAGGGAAGCTCCTCAGAGATTTTCTTCCTCTGTGTTTTAACCAGAGCCGACGTGCCATCCCTTTTAGCTAGGCTCACCCCATTAACTGCTACCTTGGATCCATTAACTGCTACCTTGGATCCATTAACATTTACCTTGGAACCGTTAACTGCTACCTTAGATCCATTAACTGCTACCTTGGATCCATTAACTGCTGCCTTCGAACCATTAACTGACTCTACTTTACGAGGGACAGTGCCATTGCTTTTCATTACTTCTTTTGTCGGGACCATTCTTATTTCCCGGCCATTACTACCAAGCTTATCAGATCCTGCTGCCACAAACCTCACCTTACTTACCATTGAATCGTTCTGGAATGTTTCTGGTTTCGCATATCTGACATTTGAAATGGACCCAGAGAAGCTGATATCATGTCTCACCTTCGCAATATCTGAAGCCTCAGAGAAGTGACGGCAGCAGCTATGCGAGGCCAGCACTGCCGCCATTTAACAATCGAACGTCCTGAGATTGACACACGGTAATGAGTCAATGATTTTGAAGAGACCTCCAACAAAACTAATTGGGTCAGCAATAAAGCCACCATATACGCAAAGGGGAAGACCATATTATACGAATCAACTAGCTAATAAACTTCTTGATGCAATTGTTGGACACTACACTTGAAGGTTCTGCCTGTGCGCACAAACAGCGAATTTGAGGAGACACTTGACCCCGGTTTATACCGAATCGAAGACAAGAGAACAAAAGGGGGGAGGATCGCGTATAATTTTCAATGCAATTGCCAATAAATGACAGGAATTAGCTAAAGATCCCTCCTTTATCAGCTGCGGGTGCAAATTTTTCAACAACAAACAAGAAAATCATGACAGCCTAAAAATATACAAAGCAATCGATTACAACCAGCAAAACATGACGAGCACAAGCCCTAGTTTAGGGTTTCAGAAATCGATCGAGATCAATCCCACTTGCCTAATTTCTCTTCTTTTTTTGGTAAAGAGATCGATCGAAAGAGAGAAGAGAAGGAAGTACCTGAGGCGTGGAATCTTGAGCGAGAGGAGGAGGAGGGAAGTCTGTAGATCGAAGCAAAGAAAACTAAAATAAATAAAAAAAATTAATTGAGGGAGAAAATATGGGGAGCAACCGGAAGAGAGAAAGAGCGTGGGATTTAAACAACTGAGGGCAGTAGAAGACGAAAAGAAATGGGAAGGAAAAAGTGGGATCTTCAAACGGCCACATCTCTGATTCCGCTTGCGCGCGATTTGCGGCCACAATTTCGTGCTGGATTATTTCCATACTAGCCCCTCAAAATCTTTCGCGTCTTGAGATTGATCCCCCAAATCATTGAATTTGCTACTAATATCCCGAGAAACTCCAACTAGTCCATAATAAACCCCTAAAAAAAACTTCAGTTCTCTCCTGTAGACGCCCACAAAAGGCAAGGAGACCTGGAGAAGATGAGCCCGAATAAAATAAGAAAAGAATGGAATTCGGAGGGGTTTTATGGGAAAAGCCCCAAAGACTATTAGGCCATGGCCAAGGGTCTATTCCGTGTCACTGACGTGTCTATTTCTAATTTCCAATTACCAATGGTTTCTGCGTACAAGCAAGAAAGTTGGAAAGATGTAACACACCAGGTGTTAGGTTTAGAAAAAGGGAGGCACTAGGGGCACACCCTCTACCACACTCCTAACCAAACCACCTCTCTTGCTACAGTGCACGGGGCCCACATGAGATTTTAATTTAATTTTAAAATTAAAATCTCATGTGGGCCCCGTGCACTGTAGCAAGAGAGGTGGTGTGGTTGGGAGTGTGGTAGAGGGTGTGTCCCTATCATTATTTTTAGAAAAAGGGTAGACATTATCATCAATTGTCAAATAATTTGACATAGAGACACTTTATGGTTTAGTCGCCAAAGTACGACCATTTACCAGTAATGAACTGATGTTCTGTATGTGCACCAGTCAAATCGAATTGATAGTCAGGGCCACCAAGAATCCCAACTTAGCCGACTCGCTGAGTCGACATCTGCTTAGGTCAACTCGAAGGGTGGTACTTGTTGGTCCTCTTGTCGAAGACGACTCGCTGCGAGCCCACTCGACCAGTTATTCGACACCTTGCAAGGTCGACTCGAAAGGCGTTCCTTCTCGACACCCCCTCGCTATAAGACAAAAGACGACTTCAATCTTGAGCCTCCCCCGCTGACAGCGCGTCGACGTCACATTAAATGCTTGGCAGACATCATCATCCCTCTAGCCCCGATAGTCTTCATGACACATCGGACCACGTCGGCACCGTCATACCCCAAATCACTTCGTATTAAATACTAAGGTGACCCCTCCTCCACTCGTCGACAGAAACCTGTAAAGTACGTGCTGACGTAACCACCATCCCATACTCGTTTGCCGTCGTCCTATACTCGACCCAGATTATCATTCTATCATTCTTCCACCACTATAAATAGATGTACTATTCCAAATACCATGGTAAGCAAGCAATATCTGAGAAATCCACTGCAATACACTTTAGAACTCACACAGTTCATCGTTTTTCCACTCAAGTCCATCAATTGACTCGATCGTCAGAAAAACAACGGGGGAACTAGTCTCCGTCCTCTCACGAATTGCTATCTGTGCATGCTGAAGCTACTCAACTAAAAATGATTTTAATTTAATTTTAAAATTAAAATCTCATGTGGGCCCCGTGCACTGTAGCAAGAGAGGTGGTGTGGTTGGGAGTGTGGTAGAGGGTGTGTCCCTATCATTATTTTTAGAAAAAGGGTAGACATTATCATCAATTGTCAAATAATTTGACATAGAGACACTTTATGGTTTAGTCGCCAAAGTACGACCATTTACCAGTAATGAACTGATGTTCTGTATGTGCACCAGTCAAATCGAATTGATAGTCAGGGCCACCAAGAATCCCAACTTAGCCGACTCGCTGAGTCGACATCTGCTTAGGTCAACTCGAAGGGTGGTACTTGTTGGTCCTCTTGTCGAAGACGACTCGCTGCGAGCCCACTCGACCAGTTATTCGACACCTTGCAAGGTCGACTCGAAAGGCGTTCCTTCTCGACACCCCCTCGCTATAAGACAAAAGACGACTTCAATCTTGAGCCTCCCCCGCTGACAGCGCGTCGACGTCACATTAAATGCTTGGCAGACATCATCATCCCTCTAGCCCCGATAGTCTTCATGACACATCGGACCACGTCGGCACCGTCATACCCCAAATCACTTCGTATTAAATACTAAGGTGACCCCTCCTCCACTCGTCGACAGAAACCTGTAAAGTACGTGCTGACGTAACCACCATCCCATACTCGTTTGCCGTCGTCCTATACTCGACCCAGATTATCATTCTATCATTCTTCCACCACTATAAATAGATGTACTATTCCAAATACCATGGTAAGCAAGCAATATCTGAGAAATCCACTGCAATACACTTTAGAACTCACACAGTTCATCGTTTTTCCACTCAAGTCCATCAATTGACTCGATCGTCAGAAAAACAACGGGGGAACTAGTCTCCGTCCTCTCACGAATTGCTATCTGTGCATGCTGAAGCTACTCAACTAAAAATCAGATATTCAGAGAAGTTAGCGGCTCCCTAATCAACCTCATCCTCATTATATTATCTGTGTGATTATTAACATCAACAAATAGATATCCCTTTATAGAAAGATATATCAAATTAGGCTGGTCTGTTTGTGCAGTTTGATGCGTACGCATGTGACGCATAGTGGTTGTGTGGATCTGTACTCATCACGTGGGCAAATTGACCTAGCTGATTTATCGGATTTTTGTGTGTGTGTGGCCTTTGTAAGCTTTTTAAATATTTTTCACAGGGCCAGTGATGCAAGTTCTTTCTGTAATGCTATTTTCAATTTTCAAATAATGTATAAATGTAATATTTTTTCCTAAGTCAGGAATATTGGTTATAACTATTAGTGTAAATATTGGCAGATGAAATCCGTGTCATTGTTATTCATCCTTAGGGATATAAATATACAAGAGGTTTACATGGCTAGGAAATTAAGTTAGGTAACAATCCTAACGTAATCCAATCTCCAAGATTCTTTCCTAGGTTTACATGGCTAGGAAATTAAGTTAGGTAACAATCCTAACGTAATCCAATCTCCAAGATTCTTTCCTATCAAAATATAATCACTCCAAGATTCTTTCCTACAAAATATAATCACTCTTAAATATAATATATACATTCCATATATAACAACGTGCCATATATACCAATAACAAAATATAATCACTCTTAAATATAATATATACATTCCATATATAACAACGTGCCATATATACCAATACCCCCCCTCAAGTTGGAGCATGAGGATCGCAAGTGCCCAACTTGCCACGAAGAAAATTAAATTGAGATTTCCCCAAAGCTTTGGTGAAAATATCTGCAAGCTGAACAGTAGTAGGAACATAAGACGGGGAGATGAGACCCTCCTGAATAGCGTCACGAACAAAATGACAATCCACCTCAATATGTTTAGTGCGTTCATGGAACACCGGATTTTTAGCAATATGTAAGGCAGATTGACTATCACAAAACATAGGAATAGCGTGAGGGTGATGAATACCCAAACTGAGTAACAAAGCCTTCAACCACTTAAGCTCACATGTAAGGCCCGCCATAGACCGATACTCAGCCTCGGCAGAGGAACGAGAGACCGTATGTTGTTTTTTAGTCCGCCAGGAAATTGGTGACTGCCCAAGAAACACGAGCCAGCCAGATAGAGAACGCCGTGTGAGTGGGCATGCGGCCCAATCAGAGTCACACCAACCTTTGAGAGATAAATCACTATCTGTGCGAAGAAGTATGCCCTGGCCTGGAGTACCTTTCAAATAACGCACAACACGTAATGCCGCATCCCAATGATCTTGACGTGGGGCCTGCAGAAACTGAGAGAGAACATGTACAGAATATGCTAGGTCAGGTCGAGTGACAGCTAAATAAATAAGACGCCCTAGAAGACGCCGATAAGGTTCAGGGTCCTCAAGCAGCGCTCCTTTCGAACAAGCAAGCGAGTGATTCTGCTCGAGAGGAAAGGAAGCTGGTCGAGCACCAAGAAGACCAGTTTCAGAAATAATATCCAGAGTATACTTCCGCTGGCTAAGAAACAAACCGGAAGAACTACGTGCCACCTCGATACCAAGAAAATATTTTAAAACACCAAGGTCCTTCATATGGAAGCAATCACCCAGATACTGTTTAAAATGTTGGATCGCCACAGAATTATTTCCGGAAATAATCAAATCATCAACGTAAACCAAAACATTTAACTGGATATCACCCCGAGAACGAGTAAATAAAGAATAATCAGCATAGGATTGGAGAAATCCATATCCCTTTAGTGCAGCAACCAGTTTGGCAAACCAACAGCGAGGTGCCTGTTTTAAGCCATATAAGGACTTACGAAGACGACATACCAAAGTAGGATCCGATGTCACAAAGCCGGGAGGAGGTTTCATATAAACTTCCTCATCAAGATCACCATGTAAAAAGGCATTATGGACATCCATCTGATGCAGCTCCCAATTCTTTGATGCTGCAACGGCTAAGAAAGCACGAACGGTCACCATCTTAGCGACAGGTGCGAATGTCTCGTTGTAATCGAGACCCTCAACTTGATGATTGCCAAAAACCACCAAACGAGCCTTGAGACGTTCAATGCTCCCATCAGAGTGGTACTTTATTTTGTACACCCAACGACAACCCAATGCACTTTTCCCGGGGGGAAGAGGTTCCATGGTCCAAGTAGCATTATCCTCAAGAGCTCGGATCTCAGAGTGCATAGCATGACGCCAACCTGCATCTTGTATAGCTTCCTTAAAAGATTTTGGCTCACAACCTGCAGTAACTGCTGCAAGAAAATCTCGGTGGCGCTGAGAAAATTTGTCACAGTTAACATAGTGTGCTATAGGAAAAGGAGTACCTGAGGAAAGCTGTGGCGTGGGTGAAATAGGAGATGGACTCTTTTTAAGAACTGTATGCGTAACATAATCACGTAACTTAACGGAGGGAAACTTCTCACGCCTGCCTCGACCTAAGGCCTGCTCATCGGTAACTGTCTGTTCATCGGATCCTGCCTGTTTGCCGGAACTGGAGGTAGCACGAGTAGATGTATCCTCCTGCGGCTGTGCATGCGTGCTATCGACACGATGAGTATCCGATGTGGCTCCTTGGATGTGCCCAAGTAATCCAAAAAATCTACACCCCCGTCAAAGAAAGAAGGAAACTCGGCAGAGGCTGGATCATCCGAAGGAGCAGTGAGATCGGCAAAAGGGAACATATTCTCATAGAATTTAACGTCCCGAGAAACGAAATATTCTTGATTGTCAAGGTCAAACAATCGCCATCCTTTTTTGCCAAATGGATAGCCCACAAAAATGCATTTTCTACTACGACTTGCAAATTTATCCCCTTTTTCCCGTTGGTTATGAGCAAAGCACAAACATCCAAACACCCGCAGTTCATTATAACAAGGCATAGTTCCAAATAGAACCTCATATGGCGTATGATTTTGAAGTATACTGGAAGGAGTTCTATTGATGAGATGAGCGGTTGTTAAAATACATTCCCCCCAAAAAGATACAGGTAAGTGACCTTGAAATCTCAGGGCGCGGGCCACATTCAAAATATGACGGTGTTTACGCTCAACGCGTCCATTTTGTTGAGGTGTTCCCACACAAGATGTTTGAAACAAAACACCATTGGCAAGAAAATAATCTTTTAAACAGTTAAATTCTGTACCATTATCACTACGCACCATTTTAATCGTTTGAGAGAATTGCCTATCAACCATGGCAACAAAAGACATAAACATCTTGAACACCTCCTTTTTATCAACCAACAAATATACCCACACAGCACGGGAAAAATCATCCACAATAGTCAAAAAATATTTTGCACCACAGGAAGAAGGAGTGTTATAGGCCCCCCACAAATCGCAATGAATCAACTCAAATATCCGAGAGGATTTATTATTACTTAAAAGGAAAAGGATCTCTAGAATGTTTAGCACGATGACAAGTTTCACATGGTTTAGATAAGTGTTCCGTAGTATTACTCACAGGAGGAATCAACTTAACGACATTCTCGGATGGATGTCCCAAACGTTTATGCCAGAGGTCCACAGAAGAGGTCACATTGTTCACCATAACTGTTTGCACCGTTGATATCTGCCTGAAGTAGTAGAGTCCATCCTGTCTTTCACCCATTCCAATCAGCTTCCTCGAGTGAAGGTCCTGAATAGCACACATGTTAGAAGCAAATTGAACAAAGCATTTCATATCATCATTAAGTTGCGAGACTGAAATCAAATTGCAATTTAATTTGGGAACATAAAGAACATGTCTGAGACAAATCTGATCAGACAGTTGTATATTCCCCTCCTTAGTGGCAACCACTTTCTGACCATCGGGTAGACCAACGGGGCATGCGGTTATGGCTTGAACATTAGTGAGAGAAGCAAGATTACCGGTTACATGATTTGATGCGCCGGTATCAATAATCCAAGAAGTAGTATCAAACTCACCATTCATGCGTTCAGTAGAGGATTGTGGATTACCAAAAGCCGCCACAAGAGCACGCCATTGCTCAGCAGAAAAACCGGGCAGAGGTACCGAAGCCGACACCGACCCGCCAGTCGGTCCAGCGCTGGTCTGTCCAACGGTCGTACCAGGACCGTTTTCCATGATAGCTGCATTCGCCCGAACAATCTCCTTACCACCACCAACACCCGAGGATGCCAACTTTCCACGACCAGCCCCTTTTCTTTCAGTACGTGGTCGGTCACCCCACCACTCAGGATAACCAAGCAACTGGAAACAATTCATAACATCGTGACCTGGATGCTTACAATGAGAGCACATCAAACTGGACTTATCAACCTTGGTCGTGCGACCCCGTCCTCGACCTTCCATACGTACAGCAAATCCCACCACATCCTGCCGCTCATCTTTGGATTGAGTAATACCACGAACGCGCTCCTCCTGAGAAATCTGGTGAAAAGCACGGTTGAGTGTAGGAAGCGGGACTTGAGAAAGTAAGTTGGAACGAAGATTCCCATAGTGATCAGAACACAACCCCATTAAGAACTGGTGAAATCGTTCCGCTTCCCGACGTTGTTCATGCAAAGCACCCAGGTTGCAAGTACACTTACCGCACTTACAACCAATAATTGGTTCATAATTATTGAGTTCATCCCATAAAACCTTAAGCCGCCCAAAATACGTAGCGACCGGCATGGTCTTGGATTGCTCACACCGAGCAATATCAGTTTTTAGTTGATGAATACGTGGCCCATCAACTACCGAAAACCGTTCCTTCAAATCTTCCCAAAGCAGTTTCGCATCATCATATTTGGAGAGGGTAAGTTTTACCTCAGGAGTAATAGTATTCATGATCCATGACACAAGCATGGAATGGATAGTCAGCCAATCCTCCTCCGTACAAGGTGACTCAGGAGCTTTTATAGTGCCATTCACGAATCCAAATTTGCGCCGTGCCCGGAGAGCAAGACGAACAGAGCTAGACCAATCATCATAATTGTCACCGTTGAGACGAACCGGAGTAATAAAATCACCGGGACGATCCTGGGGTCCCAAGAAATATGGTGAAGTAAGATCAATTTTTGCCGGCGGTGTCTCCGACGAAGCCATATTGTCGCCGTTCACCATGGCAGTACCGTCCGTGAGCCCTAGCCGATGGGCTCTGATACCATGTAAATATTGGCAGATGAAATCCGTGTCATTGTTATTCATCCTTAGGGATATAAATATACAAGAGGTTTACATGGCTAGGAAATTAAGTTAGGTAACAATCCTAACGTAATCCAATCTCCAAGATTCTTTCCTATCAAAATATAATCACTCCAAGATTCTTTCCTACAAAATATAATCACTCTTAAATATAATATATACATTCCATATATAACAACGTGCCATATATACCAATAATTAGATATCAGGAAGCAGCCCGAGCTCCGCCCCTTAGAGCATCTCCAACCATACCCTCCAAATTTGGCCCTCCAAATTGGAATATTCTAGGAATATTCCAATTTGGAGGGTGAAATTTGGAGGGTTGCTCCAACACCACACTCTCCAAATGTTTTTCTTTCAAAAAAGCCATATAAATTAAAGAATGTTGGATATAGTTTACGTTAATAATTTATTTGGGAAAAAAAATTTATAACATTATAAAGGTGTCGATGAGAGCTTTAAAATGAACCCAATATTAATACTGCAATACAACATATCATAAAATAAGCGGAGACTACACGACATAATGACTGCTTGTATTATACTACATAACATGACTGTGGAGGATGAACGCCGACATAATGACTGCTTGTATTATACTACATAACATGACTGTGGAGGATGAACGCGATGCAGAACCAGAGATTATTGTTCATGACGAAATTTCAAAACCTGAAGAGATAGATATTGATGATGCCGAACGATTCCAACGATTCCTTGATCGACATAGGAAGATACAAGATAGGGAAGCTCATTTTATGCTTCGAAACGCACTAATTGAACATTTATGGCAGAAGCACGGCAACGAAGGAATATAATTTAAATATTGTAATTTATGCTTGTATTTTTTTATGGAGCGAGTTAAATAGATCCCCATATTTAAAATTTCATATCTGATACTTATTTATTTAATTTAAAAATTAATAATTTTATAATAATACTAAAATAAATTAATCTTAGTTTCATTTTAAAGATCTCAACGAGCCCTTTCCAAATATATAATGATTTCAAATATTAGATTAATAATTTTTTAACTATATTTATTTGAAATTAAACATCTAATTTAAATTACTAAGAAGGATGGCAAAATGGTAAATTTTAAGAAATCAAATAGTTAAAAATGACAAAATTGTAAATAAAAAATCATGAATAGGGTTATGGAGAGACCCTCCAAAATTTATCCCCACCCTCCAAATTTGGAGGGTCAAATTTGGAGATCTCCAAATTTGGAGAGTGGTTGGAGAGGTTCTACTCTCCAAATTTGGAGATTTTGGAGATTTAGAGGGTGGTTGGAGATGGTCTTAGTCCGGTACTTTCTTTTAATACTCTTTGCACGCGATGCGTGCTTGATCCAGTATAAAATTTTATGTATTAAAATATAATTGTTAAATTCCCAATAGCGACGCTACTATAAGCTGTTTGGTTGGTTTCCTAAAAACCAAGAAAAGGAAAAGGTACATGGAAATGTAATAAAATATTATTAGATTCCATTTCCATTCCTAAAAACCACCCACAACATCCAATAAAATATTATTTTTATCCTCCAACTCAACTCATCTCATCTCATTTATTACCTTTAAAAATAAATCAAACACAAGAAATGTGTCACATCGTCAAGGTCACATCATCTCATCTCATCTCATCTTTAAAAATCACTCACATCATCCAATAAAAAATTAACAACTCATCTCCTCTCATCTCTATTTCTTCTCCACCCATTTCCTCAAAAAAAACTAGGAAATGAGTTTCCTTAAGTGTGAGTCACATCATCTAATAATATAATGACAACTCATCTCATCTCATTTCTTTTCTTAGTTTTAAGAATGAACCAAACACAAGAAAAAAATCTAAACAAGGAAAGTCTTTTCCTTTTAAGTCTTTTCCTTTTAAGTCTTTTCCTTATTTTTTTAGCCAACCAAACACAAGAAAAGAATCTCCAATAAGTTTTATTTAAAAATCACTCACATAATCCAATAATATGGTGACAACTCATCTCCTCTCATTTCCTTTTTACTTTTAAAAAGTGAACCAAACACAAGAAATTGACCAATATTTAAGAAAACATTTTCTTTTCTTCCCATTTCCAATTTTTTTAGCGAACCAAACAGCCCCTAAATATACCAACACTTGCAAAAATTTTGAAATGAATATTAGTGGTCATCGATCTTTAAAACGATTAATTGCTCTTATTATTTCATGATTCTAATTGTTGGACGTTCTGGTCCATCGCTTGCTCTGTATAATAATTGTCTTTACTTTCTTGTAGAACCCAAACTCTCTGTTTAATACTATTTTCAGACCCAAGCTCTCTCTTTCTAATAAAGGGCCGCAAATAAACTGCGCCCTTGTTGATGGGCCATGCCCATAAGCCCAATTCCGAAGAAAAGCAAAGCACGCTGGGCACCTTATTTAAGCCCAACTCAGCCCATTAGTCGACCTCATCACCTCCTCTCCCCTCCTCCTCTCCTCCTCCTCCTCTCTTGACTCTGAGCACAAGCATCATCATGCTGAGCCTTAAACCCTCCATAAATCCCGCACCAAAATCCTTGTTTTCTGATAGAGAATCTCTTTCTTCTGTTGCTATTCTCAGCTTAACCCCTCAATCCCCAGCTCTTGCAGTCCCAAAATGCTGTTCAATCCTCACTCCGAGCTGCAGAAAGAGGAGGGACCAAACCTCTCGTTTTCATTCATTCTGTAGGCCAAGTAAGAAATCTAGTTCCTGGGTTTTTTCTTTTATGGGTTATTGTGCTAGCAATCTTTGTGTTTTGCCTTTGATTGTGTGTAAAAGAGGAGATAACAAAGAATTTAGGTACTCTTCATCTGGATAATAAGTAGCGGAAATAGATCCATAAATCTAACCGTTTGGTTATGGTAGTCATCACGGTTTGTTACCCATTCATCATTGAAATGGTTGTGGGATTCATTTGCTCGATATTTCATAAACTTCGTATATAGGTGTCATGATTGATATGTTGGATTTAATCTAATAAATCTATTTGTGGGAACATATGATTAATCAATGTGTATTGCTATCTTTCAGGATAACCCACTAAAGTGATCAATTAAATGATTAATCAATGTGTATTGCTATCTTTCAGGATAACCCACTAAAGTGATCAATTAATTTGGGTTAATGGGTATTTAAACCCACTAAAGTGATCAATTAATTTGGGTTAATGGGTATTTAAATAAATCATGGGGTTATATGTGCAAATGTCATATTGTAATTGTGATTTGTTGAGGGGCCAAATTACAAATTTACAACATCTATAAATAATGGGTTATGATCCCTAATCTAGGGTTACATTCTCTAAGTCTCTTCACCCCCATCTAGAGAGAAATTCGGCTATAGAGAAACCCTAAGGTTAGAAGATCCAAAACCCATATCAGGTTTCATCTATGGATTCAGGTATAAGCTTCCGCTCTTTTGATTATTGTTAATCTCTTCGAATTAATCATGGCTTTATGGTTTTAGATCTCAAGTTTTTATTAGATCTAACAAGTAGTATCAGAGCCATCTTTGATTAATTCTTAGGGATTTAAGGTTTTAAAATTGGGTTTTTGATCTTAAATCTCTGGTTTTTTGGATTAAGATCTGTTCTCGGATGAACAGTAACGTTCGGATGAACAGTAATGGCTGTTGAAAATTTTTTCAGATGAACAATACCGTTTTTTGGATGAACAGTAACTAAAAAAATCGTCGATGAACCGTAACATTTTGGATTTTTTTTCTTTGATTTTTTCTTGGATCTGGATCACAAAATTTTCCAATTATGGATCTGGTTTTTTGAAAATAAAAATCAAGGAATTTTGGGTTTGGTCGGCGGCGGTTTCGGTTTGAAACCCTAAGGGTTCGTGGCGAAAATTAAGGAGGTGGTTACCTCAAACGAACTTCGCGTTCGTTCTCAGGTGAGCTTCACGCTCAAATTTAACCGAACTTCACGTTCAGTTCTCAAGTGAGCATCGCGCTCAAATCAAACGAACCTCGCGTTCGTTCTAAGGTGAGCCTCGAGCTCAATTTAAACGAACTTCGCGTTCGTTCTAAGGTGAGTCTCGCGCTCAGTTCTAAGGTGAGCCTCGCGCTCAATTCAAGTCGAACCTCGCGTTCGTATTTCAGTCGAACCTCGCGTTCGTTTTCAGTCGAACCTCGCGTTCGTATTTCAGTCAAACCTCGCGTTCGTATTTCAGTCGAACCTCGCGTTCGTTTTCAGTCGAACCTCGCGTTCGCATTTCAGTCGAACCTCACGTTCGTATTTCAGTCGAACCTCGCGTTCGTTTTTTAGTCGAACCTCGCGTTCGTATCTCAAGTTGAACCTCGCGTTCATTTTTTCAAACGAACCTCGCGTTCGTTCTCAAGTTGAACCTCGCGTTCTTTTTTCAAACGAACCTCGCGTTCGTACTTAAGTGAGTCTCGTACTCAATACAGTCGAACCTCGCGTTCGAAGTCAAGCGAACTTCGTGTTCACTATGGTTAAGCCTCGGCTTTTCATGGGTCCACCTTGGTATACTTAATTTATTTAATTAAGTTATGTGCCCTGATTAAGCTATGAGACCCAAATTAAGTTTTTTTTTTTGGAAATTCAGTTGATTTAAATTAAAACTTTTAATTTAAATCTAATTTGGTTTTTAATCAATTATTTAATTCAAATATTATGACACTAAGGTATTAAGGTTGTCTCTCACTCCAATTGATTAATTGAAACAAGAAGTTGTCAAAGTAACCTCTCTTGTATAGATTGTTCATGAGGAATGTGAGATGTTTGTGTGTATGCTTTCGTGTAAATATTTAATCGGCCCAAAGGAAGGTTAATATTTATTTAGACTGTATACACATCTGCGATGATAAGCGTGTGACAATTATAAGGTTTACATGTGAATAATGAATCGATCCAAAGATAGTTTCATTATTTGACATGAGTTATTGTCAATGTTTGATCATTGCAACAAGGTATCACTTACAAGTTAATATTACTGTCCAAAGACTTGATATTAATGTTGTGCCAGATATCTTGGATGAGATTTGTCATTATTTGAATTTTATTGATTACTAACTAATTATGATTATTGATGTGAGCATTTTTTGTTTTATTTCAGCTAATATATCTGCTGTAACAATTTCTGCTAACATCAACTCAATTCCCATGCTAAATGGGACAAACTTCAAGGTTTGGAAAGAGAACATATTAATTGTTCTTGGCTGCATGGATCTTAACTATGCATTAAGAACTGAACAACCCCAACCTCTCAATGCGGATAGCACTCCTGATGCAAAGAAGGAGCATGAGAAGTGGGAGCGTTCAAATCGCATGAGTCTTATGATCATTAAGCGCGGCGTTCCGGAAGCCTTCAGGGGCATAGAATCCGAAGGGAGTACTAAGGCTAAAGATTTCTTTGCCGAAATTGAGAAGCGTTTTGCGAAAAACGATAAGGTAGAAATAAGCACGTTCTTAGCTCGCTTGATTTCAATGAAGTATAAGGGCAAAGAAAATATCAGGGAGTACATTATGGAAATATCTCATATTGTTTCAAAGCTTAAGGTACTTAAACTCGATCTTTGTGATGAGTTATTAGTGCATCTGGTTCTGCTGTCTCTTCCTGCACAATTCAATCAGTTTAAGGTCAGTTATAACTGCCAAAAGAAGAAATGGACTCTAAATGATCTCATTTCATACTGTGTGCAAGAGGAAGACAGGTTGAAGCAAGATAAGACGGAAAGTGCTCATTTGGCCTATGCCTCTAAGGATAAGGGCAAGAAAAGGAAGAATGATAATGAAGCTGCTAAGGGTCCAGTTCAGAAGAAACAACATAAGGATAATCATGATTGTTTCTTCTGTAACAAACCTGGACACGTAAAGAAGGATTGTACAAAATATCACGCCTGTCGTGCTAATAAGGGTACGTTCCTTACTTTGGTCTGTTCTGAGGTTAATTTAGCTTTAGTACCTAGAAACACTTGGTGGTTAGACTCTGGTGCTACTACTCACATAAGTGTTTCTATGCAGGGTTGCCTGAGCTACCGAAGCCAAGTGATGTTAAAAGGACACATCTTTGTGGGCGACGGACAATCGGTAGATGTGGAAGCAATTGGGCACTTTAGGTTGTTGTTAGGAACTGGTTCATATTTGGATTTGAAAGATACTTTTGTAGTACCGTCTTTTAGACGGAATTTAATTTCTGTTTCTGTATTGGACAAATCAGGTTATTCTTGTTCATTTGGAAACAGTTAATTCAGTTTATCTTTTAATTCAAATGCTGTGGGAACCAGTTACTTGAGTACTTATGACAACCTATATTTGCTTGGTACAATTGCTTTTTATAATGAATCCTTGCATGTGGAATCACGTGGTACTAAGCGTAAATTAAATAAGAAAAATTCAGCGACATTATGGCATAAGCGCTTAGGTCATATCTCAAAAGGTAGAGTTGAGCGTCTTGTGTCTGATGGCATTTTGGATTCCCTTGATTTTTCGGACTTCGACGTATGTGTTGAATGTATCAAGGGAAAACAGACCAAAGTGAAAAGATTAGGTGCCAACAGATCTTCGGATGTCTTAGAATTGATACATACGGATATTTGTGGGCCATTCCCTACGGAATCCTGGAATGGTCAACAATATTTTATATCATTCATAGACGATTACTCACGTTATGGGCACCTATATCTTATTCATGAAAAATCTGAGTCTCTGGACATGTTCAAAGCCTATAAAGCTGAAGTTGAGAATCAACTCAACAGAAGAATTAAAACTGTTATATCTGATCGTGGTGGTGAGTACAACGGTAGATATGATGGTTCAGGTGAACAACGTCCAGGACCATTTGCTAGATACCTAGAGAAATGCGGTATCGTCCCACAGTACACTATGCCAGGTTCACCTAGCATGAATGGTGTAGCTGAAAGACGAAACATGACTCTTAAGGATATGGTAAGAAGTATGATTGCTCATTCTTCTTTACTAGAGTCACTCTGGGGAGAAACACTTAAGACAGCAGCTTACATTCTGAACAGAGTACTAAGTAAAGCAGTTGCTAAAACACCTTATGAGCTTTGGACTGGTCGAAAGCCCAGTTTAAAGAACTTACATATTTGGGGATGTCCAGCTGAGGCAAGGTCTTATAGGCCAAATGAAAAGAAATTGGACTCCAAAACAGTTAGCAACTACTTTATTGGGTACTCTGAACGCTCTGGGGCTTTAAGTTTTATGATCCCACTATAAGGAATATTTTTGAGACGGGAACAGCAACATTCTTTGAGGATGTTGAGTTTGGGGGGAGAAATAAGGTTAGAGACATTAGTTTTGAGGAGGAATTGGCTTCAGATCCAATCCATACAGTTACTTTTGACAATATTCAGGTTCCTATACCTGTTGTTGCTCAAGAAGTAAATCCGGAACCTCAAGATGATAATGTTGAACAACTCCCTGTTCCAGAAGAACAAACTCAACAACCTCAAGAACCAGTGCCATTAAGGAGATCCACGAGAGAAAAGAGAAATGCTATTCCGGATGATTATATTGTATTTCTCCAAGAACATGAGGAAAGTAATGGAATGTTGGAAGATGATCCAATCAATTTCCTTCAGGCCATGAAAAGTTTTAACTCTCAACAGTGGATTGATGCTATGAATGAAGAGTACAAGTCTATGCAAGACAATAAAGTTTGAGAACTTGTCCCGTTACCAGAAGGTGCAAAACCAATTGGTTGTAAATGGATTTTTAAAACCAAGCGGGATGCAAACGGTAATGTTGAGAGGTATAAGGCACGTCTTGTGGCTAAAGGCTATACTCAAAAGGAAGGCATTGACTATACAAAGACTTTCTCTCCGGTTTTATCGAAAGACTCTTTCAGAACAATCATGGCACTTGTTGCTCATTATGATCTTGAGTTACATCAGATGGATGTTAAGACTGCATTTCTCAATGGCGACATTGATGAGATGATTTATATGGTGCAACCAGAAAACTTTGTGTCAGGAGACCCAAAGAATATGGTCTGCAAATTAAGGAAATCTATCTATGGACTCAAGCAAGCTCCTCGTCAATGGTATCATAAGTTTCAACAAATAATTATCTCGTTCGGTTTTGAGATGAACATTGTTGATGACTGTGTATATCACAAGTTCAGTGGGAGTAAGTATATTTTTCTGGTTCTGTATGTCGATGACATATTGCTTGCCACTAATGATATAGGCATGTTGCACGAAACCAAGAGATTTCTATCAAAGAATTTTGAGATGAAAGATCTTGGGGACGCCTCTTTTATATTAGGGATCCAGATACATCGAGATCGTTCTTGGGGTATTCTTGGATTATCACAAAAGAGCTATATCGATAAGGTATTTAAAAGGTTTGGCATGCAAGACTGCAGACCAAGAGACACCCATGTGGCTAAAGGAGACAAATTTAGTCTCAATCAGTGCCCTAAAGGTAACCTTGAAATTCAGGAAATGCAGAAGATTCCTTATGCTTCGGCTGTAGGAAGTCTAATGTATGCTCAGGTATGTATGCGTCCGGATATTGCGTACATTGTTGGGATGTTAGGCAGATACTTAAGCAACCCTGGTATGGATCATTGGATAGCAGTCAAAAGGGTTATGAGGTATCTTCAGAAAATAAAAGATTACATGCTCACATACAGAAAATCAGAACAGTTAGAGGTCATTAGGTATTCGGACTCTGATTTTGCTGGATGTCAAGATAGCAGAAAGTCTATATCAGGCTACATTTATATGTTAGCAGGAGGAGCTATATCATGAAAAAGTGTTAAACAGACACTCGTAGCTTCCTCCACTATGGCAGCAGAATTTGTAGCTTGCTATGAGGCATCCAATCAGGGAATATGGCTGCGAAATTTTGTCACGGGACTGCGCATTTTGGAAAATGTTGAAAGACCACTAAGGTTATATTGTGACAATAAATCTGCAGTAATGTATTCCAATAACAACAGGAGCTCAACTAAGTCAAAACATATTGACATTAAGTTCCTGGTTGTGAAAGAAAGGGTACAGAGTGGACAGATATCCATAGAGCACATTGGGACAAACTCCATGATAGCTGATCCTCTTACTAAGGGATTGCCACCTAAGGTCTTTCATGAGCATACTGCTCATATGGGTGTGGTATTATTTGAGGATATTATGTTTTAGTGGGAGTTTGTATTTGTGGTGCTTTATGTTTGGTTGTATTGTCTGATCAGAATAAAGTATTCAGTTAAGACACTCTGTTACATTATGTTTGGTTTTGACCTCACTAAGGAGGACCAGTTGAAAATAGACATGTACTGATCACATTGCATGTAATTTTCATGCTGCACATCCATGATTGATCTATGTCGTTTGATTGTATTGGTATATGTGACCATTGATGGGTCGAGTCACGATAAATGTGACGAAGGCCGCTTTGATCCTATATTGATATAGTCAATGGACGAGATTGTTCGGAAATACCTTTTCAGTAATAGCAATTTTTTGAGCTCATAAGGGTATACACAATTTAAGGAATCATATAGTGCCCAAATGGGAGATTGTTGGATTTAATCTAATAAATCTATTTGTGGGCACATATGATTAATCAATGTGTATTGCTATCTTTCAGGATAACCCACTAAAGTGATCAATTAATTTGGGTTAATGGGTATTTAAATAAATCATGGAGTTATATGTGCAGATACCAGGTTGTAATTGTGATTTGTTGAGGGGCCAAATTATAAATTTACAACATCTATAAATAAGGGGTTATGGTCCCTAATCTAGGGTTACATTCTCTAAGTCTCTTCACCCCCATCTAGAGAGAAATTCGGCTATAGAGAAGTCCCTAATCTAGGGTTACATTCTCTAAGTCTCTTCACCCCCATCTAGAGAGAAATTCGGCTATAGAGAAACCCTAAGGTTAGAAGATCCAAAACCCATCTCAGGTTTCATCTATGGATTCAGGTATAAGCTTCCGCTCTTTTGATTATTGTTAATCTCTTCGAATTAATCATGGCTTTATGGTTTTAGATCTCAAGTTTTTATTAGATCTAACATGATATCCTTTCTTATGTGCTGGCTTTATGTTCTAATTACACTATTGTTACTATTAGATTTTAAAATTACACAATACTGAGTGTCTCTATCTTCATCACTTACATTCTATCTCACTATTTGATGACATCGTTGTAGATTCTGCAGCGAATGGCGCCGTTATTTCCAATGTGGATGAACAAAATGAGGTCGAGGTTGCAAAAGGGTATACGATGACCCAATTTTGTGATAAGATGATTGGATTCTTCATGCATGAGAAACCCGAAACAAAAGATTGGAGGAAGCTCTTGGTGTTCAGGGATGAATGGAAAAAATACAAAGAGAGCTTTTTCAATAGATGTCAGGCTCGTGCAGATAATGAGACAGACCAAGCTCTGAAGCAGAAATTAGTCATGCTTGCTAGGAAAGTTAAGAAGGTATTTTCTTCCTAACTCTGTGTGAATGTATTTTCTTCCTAACTTTGTGTAAAGGTATTTTCTTCCTAACTTTGTGTACTTCTTTTAGTGGGGAAGTCATGAATTTTTCACTTGAGATTGTATAGAGATGTGTTGAGCAATGATCTCAGAATGTATTGCCCTTTTAATTGAAGTTAATGCGTGCTAATGCTAGACTGTTTCTATCAAAAACCATTCCCTATATTATTCTTTATTGAAAATTCTAATTTTAATAATGGTGTGAAATCGCAGATAGATGATGAGATAGAGAAACATACAAACCTTCTCCAAGAAATTCAAGACAACCCTACAGATTTAAATGCTGTTGTTGCAAGACGACGCAAGGACTTCACTGCAGAATTTTTCCGCCACCTCAACGTATTGGCAGACGCTTATGATCAACTTGAGGATAAAGATGGTGAATACTATTTGATTTTTTCAGAGTTTTACCAATACTTCAACAATTTGTTGCTACAGATTCAATAACCTCGTACTTGGTTCTATTCACATTAATAGTGCAATGTCTATGACTCATGCTAACATTTTTTTTAAACTCTGCATCTCTGCCTGGTTTACTGGATGAAAGCAAGCAAAACATCAGAAAATGAACCATTTTAACTAGTGCATTCTGAATGTTGTATATGTCAGCTTGAAAATACTAATATATGCATTCACATATTTGTTTTTGAATGAGTTTTAAAACATTTTCTTCTTGAATAGCAATGGCTAGACTTGGAGCTAAATGCTTGTCGGCAGTTCGTGCTTATGACAATGCATTGGAGCAGTTGGACACTCTGGATGTTGCTCAGTCAAAATTTGATGATATTCTGAACTCTTCTTCACTTGATGCTGCATGTGAAAAGATAAAGCGCCTAGCTAAAGCAAAGGAACTAGATTCATCCTTGATTCTTCTGATAAATAGAGCTTGGGTAGCAGCAAAAGAGTCTACATCAATGAAGAATGAGGTACTGCCTAGACCTTAATAAAATATGTGCACGCATGTGTAGAATAAAAAAGATAATCATCCCATGGTTATGCTTTCTTCATTGATTATCTGCTGAATTCTGCTTGATATTTCTTGTACCAACACTTAAGATGTTTATTCTGAGATTTCTGCAGGTCAAAGACATCATGTATCATATATATAAAGCCACAAATAAAAGCCTTAAAAGCATAGCACCACCTGAGATAAAGCTACTCAAACACTTGTTGAACATTACAGACCCAGAGGAGAGGTTTTCAGCTCTAGCTACTGCTTTCTCTCCAGGAGACGAGCATGAGGTCAAGGACGTTGATGCGTTGTACACGTAAGTTCTCTTGTTTTTCAAATTCCTGTGAATTCACGCTGTATAAATTCCCATTATTTTAATGCTTGGTATCTCTTTCCTTTACCTCATAGGATTTGACTGCTTTGGAATCAACTAAGCGGGTCCAGCTGTTTAAGGAGTTAATTGCATATCTAAATAAAACCCCAAATAGGCATAAAAATCATTAGAGACCGAGATTTCCCTTTTTTCAAAGAATATTTCAAGCTCTTTATCGCTGCTTTATAAAAGTATAAGTAAATACGACCTTAATATATCGGCAATAACTGATCCATAAGGATAGGAACTGAGAAGAATATTTCCTCATTTAGACTCAAATGGGAAAAATGAGGGGGAGGGGGCGGGGGCCTGATAAGTGGCGACGGCAGAATATTTTGAATTTTGGAGACTAGTGTGAGTTTACTTATCTAAATCTGTATTTAATCTCATTTGAAAGACGCCTGCAATTGTAGGGATACTTTTTCTTTCTAATTTTTTTTGCTCTCTATCTTGAGATCCAATTACTAGAGTTAATGTGGTTTTCAGAATGTTTTTCTGTAGCTAGTTGATGAATTTTGATTCTGCCCTTTGGAGGCTACTTGATTTTTTTCTACAATCAAAGAGCTAGCTTACATCCAGAAAGGTGGTAGTTTTATTTCTCTCTTTGTTAGGGGCTGCTAATCTACTGGTATTACGTCAAATGTCCATATTTATCTCGAAGTATCCTCACTAGCTTGGTGTATGGATACCAGTACAAGTGTTGGGTACATAAACACAGATGATCATATACAAAAAATACAGAAAAATCACAAATATATTTCTCCATAGATATGGGAATTAAATAACATTTTATCATATATCATGAAAATTATAATTCAATCGTGAACCACCTATGAAATCTATTGAAGATGGTCAAATTCATCTACTTATGATATGGTCATAGGTTCGGCGTGATCATAAATTCTCTTACTTTCATGTGCCGAAATAGGAGACTTTCTCCCTTATGCTGCATTTCTGAGACAGGACGCCGAAGGAGCTGCACAAATGGATCAAGATCATGCTGGAAGCGTACCAAATGAACAAGGAGGAATCTGATATAATGGAAGTTCGGCAAATGAGTGATCCAATGGTCATCCAGAGACTTTCCATTCTCAAGGAGACGATCGAGGAAGAATACTTGAAACAAGATAAAGAGAAGAAAGAGGACTCTGAACCAAAAGAGTAAAGCCTCAGGGTGATGGGGAACCCAGATTTTTTTGTTTTTGTTTTTAATGTTCTGGCTCTGTTTGCATATATTCACAACCAGTGGTCTGTGAGCTGTTTAATGTAACATCCATATGCTGAATTCTGTCTCTCTGGGGGGAAATGAGAACATGAGGGAGGAAACAAAAATCCCTCTACTCCTTGTGTTTCTTTTTTCGATTTTTTTTGGTGCTGGGGAATATAACGAGAGAGGTGTATGTATATGTATATGTATATTGTAGTGGCCAGTCATATATGTATATTGTAGTGGCCAATGACTGGCTTCAACAGTTCAGAGAGATTAGTAATTGAAGTTGTAACCTAGATTGTTAGGCAAGTGTGAAACTTATCTAAACAGTAACCAGTCATCAATTTACTTGGTATAATAGCTTAGTTGGTCTTGTCTTTCTTTTTTAGCTTAGTTGGTCTTTAACAGGAGCTTTGCTACAGGGACCCCAAAATATGGGACCAACAGAGAGGACAGATGATGTGTCCCCCTCCTATTGCATAATGAGTTGATCATCATTAACGATGACCATCTCATTATGCAATAGGAGGGGGACACCTCACATGTCCCCCCAGGTTGGTCCCATATTTTGGGTCCTTTGGGAATTTTTCAAATAATAATCTTTCTTTCATTTATTTCGTGTGATTGTTACAACACCATTAGATGCACGGCTTGTGTCAAACGCTTGTATGGTGGAAAAAGTAAGAATCATTTGTAATGATATTTGGCAATGTTCCTAATTAAAATGTATATCAAAGCAACCAAAAAAATAATAAGTAAATCAGGAATGTGTAGGAAAACACGAAGCTTGACCACAAATTTAACATAAAAGAACAAAATAGGAGTATAATTACTCATAAAGTACCTCGCTCTAATTACACTGCATCCATGAATAATTCCAATGCATTTACAAAGTGCATTGGTAGTCAGTTAATTAATCTCATACGACCACATAATCATCCGTGTACAACTATTTTTTTAAAGGAAATCAGTCATGTATAATTCCATGAAAAACTACATAATCGTTGTACAAAAACGACGGTAGCAACCTTGACAAAGAGAATGAAGGAAGAAAGCATGAATGAGCCTTTGCCATCAAATTCAACCGTTTATGTGATTCTTCACATTTATCAAAAAAAGTTAAATCAAAACTTAAAGTTGTGATCTACCTTCTGAGCTCTGTGCTGTGAATGCTCAAAGAGAGTCGTTGTCGGATCGAAAAACTAACTACATTGAACGTCCTGAGTTTGATCTATTGATTGCAGAGACGCACTGAAAAGAGAAATGCGTGACGCATATAGATGCTAGTTAAAAATTAGATGTAGAGAAGTGGTGAAAAGTGTTGTTCACTTTTTGCTAAGAATAAGTCATACCTTAATTGTGCAATGAGGAAGCGGATCAGTTTGGTTTTCAACTTAAAAAGACATTTCTCAAATTACCTGTTACTAATGTTGAAATCTGAAAAATGAATTTGTGTTTCATAAAATGTTGTTGTTATTAACCAAGACTCTCCGAAACTCTGAAAAATGGACTAAATTTTTGATGAAGAACGAGTTCCTATCCACTAAAGTTTACAAGAGCTTTGTTTCCGCATTACTTCGTTATTATAAATTTGAATTATTATTTTTACAATTGTATCCTCCAAATTATTACTACTGTATCATCCGAATGGCGGTATCTAAACAAATAATATGCACATAAAGAACTCTTCAAATTGTCCATATAGAAATATTTTTGGTACCTAAACAAACAATACCAACATTAGGAACTCTTCAAATTGTTCACATAGAAATAGTAACTGAAGTTGGAACCTTAAGAATTTAACAAGGGTCGCAACTCAAAAAAATCCTGAATCATAAACATCTTCCATGAATAATAAACAGTGATGATTTTGAGAACTGCTGAAGAAGTTAATTTCAACTTAAGGATTTAGCGAGAGTCCTTTATATGAGGATCTAACGAAAGAAATTAATTACTTGCAAAGGATCGTTAACTATGTATTTTCCTATGCCACAAATTCCATTATGAGATATAAAAAAAAGTACTCTCAGATTTATCTTTCTTTATTATTTGGTAAATTTTTTTTTTTTTTTGAAACAGCAGTTCCGGATATGTATCCATAGCTGTTGTTAAGTGATAAACGAGGTTCAGTCAGACTTCAAAGCAAATGAATAGAAATCATATACCGAGTAAAGAGAGGTCACAAAATAAATGTCTCCGCCCTTCACTTGGTGTGACTGCTATGCGCCTATGCCCCCTTGAAGCATGACTTTACTTGGATTCTACTGATTTATTAAACTTTGGACTTGTAGCTTATTAATCCAAAAAGGACAATTTTTTGAAAACACCCATTTTTCAAATTTATATAGCAAAATCAACTCTTTTTGAAAAAAAAATCAGCAAAACCAACCCTTTTCAGATGAAAAGGGTCGGTTTTGCTGCGGAAGAATTTTTTTGAATTGCACGGGACTAACAGCCCCGTGCATTTCGTTTTCTTTTCGAAATGCACTTAGCAGATAGTTTTGAAATGCACGGGACTGCTAGTCCCGTGCAGTTCGAAAAACACTTCCTCTGTAAAACCAACCCTTTTCATCTGAAGAGGGTCGGTTTTGCTAATTTTTTTCCAGAAAAGATCGATTTTGCTATATAAATTTGAAAATTGGGTGTTTTCAAAAATTTGTCCTTCAAAAAATTGGAGCCAAGAGCAAATGAATATTTTTTAGTTTATTATTATAGTATTTCATTTCATAGCTGGGCCGGCCCAAATCAAAGAAGCACATCAAGTCCCCAAATCAAATGTCAAGCACTCACCCTTGCTCTCTCCCTCCCCGGACCAGAGAAAAAAATTGAAGGCTCGGCCCAAAAAGCCCCCAAAATACCAACGATTCCAGATCTCTCTCGCCCCCGCTCTCCTCTCTCTCTCTAAAGAAGAACCACCGGAGTCGCGAGATCCGCCGTCGCCGTCCTCCGACGAGATAACGGAGCCGTAAGATCTTTAATTACTTTTGTAATTCGAAACATAATCAGAAAAACCTAGGTTTTAGAGATTATTTCCTGGATCTAGATTTGATATTCAGCGCAATAGAATCTGGAATAATTTCTCTAGGTTATGAAAATTAAAGGGAATCTAGGGTTTTTAAGCCAACCCGGCTCTTGAAATCTCTTCCCGAATGAAAATGTAAGAACGTTATCTTATTCTCTTTTCATTCACTCAAAAATGATCGCTTGTTTGCTTGTGATTTGAGTTATGGTCGTTATATCGAACTCTGATGCCATAATGACCTGATTTTGTCAAAATTGGTCTTGATGGATCACAATTTCTGTGAAATTGTGTGGTCATTTTTCCACTCCTAAGGTATAACTATGGTTATTATAACAGTTCAGCAGCGAACAACTTGATTGCATGAGAATTCTGCTGGTAGAGGGATTGCTTGGATGACCACTTGTTGTTAGTTAGATGCGAAGAATGTTAACGTTTTTGATTGTAAGGTCAGCTGAGTGCCTATGCAAATCTAAGTTAACAACGGTTGAAGAATAATGCATTTCTTTGAAGGGATGGGAATTATTTGATTAAAAAGGCAGTCTGAATCAAGCAAACTTAAGTTAGATGAAGCAGTCGTAGAAGAGCAAAGTCTAGCGGATTTAGTGGGGTTTGAGAATTGAGGTGCGTTGCAATTTCGAGTTCAGCATAGTAAAAGAATTTTGTTTTTAACATCATTATACCCAAAACTGTTTGTTGGATATATAATTCAATGTTTTAAAAAGTGGACCTTAGGCTGTACCTTGGTCACCCGCGTAGGCCTTGAGAGCACTGAGGGGTGCATTGGGATGCTTACACGGACTGCACTGCTTAGGACTTGGTTGCAATTTCCTCCGTTGCAGCCTCAGTGTCCTCCAACCTCCTTCAGCCTCCTCCACTAACTATGAACAACTCTACCTCCTCCGACTTTCAGAGAACCTCCTCCACCACCACTTAAACAAATAAAGAAATCTGCCTAGGCATCTAGGCGCTAGGCTCTAGTCTGGCACCCGGTTTGTCCAGCGCTTTCTATGATATTGTCATTTATGTCAGTCATTTGTAAGTAAAAAATAAAAAAGGAAAATCGCCTAGGCCGTCTAGCACTTTCTGTAACCTTGATATGTATTGCTGAGGACTTTCAGTTATATGCATCATAACATTGCACTCAGAATATTTTGGAACTTACTTGCTTCTCTTGTTTTTTTTTTTAAATTTTAAATTTCTCAGGTTCAAGTTATTCTGATGGCTATGGTTGATGAACCCCTCTTTCCAATCGCAATTCTTATAGATGAGTTGAAAAATGATGACATACAGCTGCGATTAAACTCCATCCGCAAGCTTCCTACTATTGCACGGGCACTTGGCGAAGAAAGAACAAGGAAAGAGTTGATTCCCTTTCTTAGTGAAAACAATGACGACGATGACGAGGTGCTTCTTGCAATGGCTGAACAGTTGGGCGTATTCATTCCATATGTTGGAGGGGTGGAACATGCTCATGTATTGCTTCAGCCTTTAGAGACGTTATGCGCCGTTGAAGAAACTTGTGTTAGGGACAAGGCTGTTGGATCATTATGTCAAATTGGAGGACAGATGAAGGAGAGTGATATTGTAGACCGGTTCACCCCTTTAGTAAAGGTAACAATGGAAGACCTTAACTCCTGATAACAGGGGCTTATGTTCTATGGAATTGTGACATAGTCTATCTTTTTCTTGGCAGTCACAAGTTCATTTGTGGTTTCTTCGGGCAAATGTGATATTGAAGACACAAGTTGCTTGAAACGTGCTTTTTTTGTTCTTTCTGCTCTTGTTTTACTTTCTTCAAGAGAAGAAAAGTGGAGAAACTAGCTTAATTAATGTTGAAATTCCATGTAACTTAACACATCATCATGTAATTTAGCTGATTTTCATTTTAGAAAAAGTTGGCAAAATAAGTTGAGAGCTTCGTGTATTATTCATTTGGCGAAAGGAAGTGTCACATGCTAGCACCATCTTCTGACTTTATTTATTTATTTATTTTTGTTCTTACACATCGATCCTTTTGTGGTCCTCTTCTTGGATGACTTCCTAAATACCTGTGCCTCCTTTTTGTCCTTGGCATCAATCTTCTTGTACTTGAAAAGTTAACTAAACTTTCAGATTGACACATAGCTTGCACACTGGTTTGGGAAATAGCTTTAAGCATATTGAGCGTTTCTCAACTGTTATTTACATCTTTTGCTGTTCCTGTCTTTTGATTATGGTACCAAATATTTTGCTTTTCAATGTCGGAGATTGCATTACGGTACATATCAAATTTAATTCAGTTGATTAGTCGAGAAACAAAGACTTATCTGTCAACTCTCACTAAT